CGTCTGCGATGAAGGGGAGTCCATGGAGGATCTGATTTTTTCTCTCCTGTATAGAGGGAAACGTCGCTAGGCCTTTCCATGCCGACGCTCCGCAAAAAATTGATACGTACGGAGGCCAGACGAGCCAAGAAAAGGGGGCGATCTCAATATTGTTAACCAGGGGAAAACTTAATATATTTCTTTTAATTATTATTTTTTGGAGTGCCAGTGGACAAGAAAAGTTCCATAGACTCTCTAGAAATAGAGGGAACTCTACATGATTAAATTGCATCCCCCTAAAGAGTTGTCTTCCATCACTGTATGAAAATTCTATGAAGACTGTAGAAATCCTGTCGGGGTCCAAATTGAATTTAATAAAGAGATGATCACTCAGACATCGTCCTTTGCCTGTTGGGAATCGTTCGTTGCTCCGAACGAATGCAGTAGGATTGCAGGAATTAGACAGCTATCATCCCCGTTTCACTTTTCGGTGGAATCTCTCGCCATTTCATAGGGGAGTGAAACTGGGGAAACCTCGGGATTTCTGGACGCATGTCGCGTGGGGGGACCCCAGCTTAGGGTTGTTGAAAAGTCACCAGAAAATTTCAAAATGTAGTGGTTCCAGGAGGAAAAGAGAGGGAGAGACGCTTCCCCGAATAAATTCATGCTCGTCTTTTCCTCGTCTTGCCGGCAAGCTTTTTCATCGTGTAGACAGCCGTGAACGCGGGAAAGGAAGACAAACCGCGAACTCACTGCCTAGCGGGACGTTTTCCACCTGGAAGAGGAACTCGACTCGCTCCGAACTCCCCTCGATGCCGACCCACGTCTCGGGCGTTGAACTTCTCCAAAGGAAACATGCCAGACGAGAGCGCTCGAGCACCGTGGGCATATAAACGGAAAATGTTCGGAATTAACCGATGCCTCGCTGCAGTCGCGATTCTCCTCGCTCTGCCCCAGGAAAGCCGTCAGGGGAAAATTACGACAGCAGCATCGCTCTTTAAAGATTTGCTCCGTGGAAAATCGCCCATCTCGGCCCAAAACTGGATGCAACCGTCCTTCCCCAAGGAAGAATGCCTCGCCGAGGACGACAGGGGGATCACACGCGCGAAAGCAATCCCACCAGGGTCTGTACCTCCGCCGCACGCTCTCAGGAAAGAGCGAACGATTTCAGAGAAAGGGAGCGAAATTGGAGTTGGCGATTTTACTTGCAAAAAAGGAAGTAAGTCACGCCTCTCTCTTTCCTCAGAATAACCGCTGATTTCTTCTAACAATTTGAAAAGTACTCTCCCTCCTTCTTTTCGTCCTCTTGGGAAAGTTATGGATTCTGCTCATATTAATTAGTAGTTATCGATTGCATTTCCTCGTATTTTAGGGAGCAACATCTCTAACTCCAGTTTCGCTCTCTTTCTCGGAAATGGCTCTCTCTTTTCTGAGAGTGTCCGTCTCGATCCATTCTCTTACACGCGTTCCTCGCGAAAGCCACTCAACGCTGTCGACACTTCTCCCATCGCCTCGATCACGCCACACACGGGGAGATGGTGTCGGACCTGCGGTCGTGTTCTCCAACGGAATCGCCCGGGCCCTGGGAGTGGACTGGCACGACGTGGGATCGTGTGCACGGTATCCCGCTCGGTGCACTCGAGTCGCTGCAGGTTGCCAACTTCATCTACATCTTATGGCTTCAGCTTCCCGGAGGTCAAGGATGGAAAGAGATGCATTAAATAATGGCACTCTCAGGGATTTTGCTACGGTATTACGTTTTCAGGATAATTTGTAGGCAAGTGTTTAGTCTCCGATACTCAAGAAAGTTACTTAAAAATGGAAAATTTCGGTATCCCAAAAAACAAAGCTGATGATCCTACTTGCAGTCAAACTTAAATAGTCCTTGACTTCGTTGCTTGAAACCACATCTCCCAAGAATATCAGAGATTGTTCTCATGAAATGGTAATTATTCAAATGTACAATGTGGAAATTTCTCGGGATGGTGAATAGCACGAATCCTGCTCTAATCCGGTTCTTGCACAACTTAGTGTATTCATGCGGAGGAAAGACCGAGGATATCAGAGGAAATTTTGGTGCTGAGTTGATGGGAAGGGGAAATTAAATTAATTAACACACTCCCGTAGAGGTCGTTCTTGTAATTACCCAGTAAAGTGAAGATATATACAAATAAAAGCAACAGGAATACATTGATTTAATTACGCGTACATTCCACGTGGCCAAGAATACCCAAGGTACCATATCAAGTACCAAGGTAGTTGATATCATTTCCGCGGACCTCCAGGTACCTCGGAGCAGCGTCCCAAATCCATCAACGAACCGACGGATGACGCACGTCGCGTGCGTTTCTCACTCCACTGGGAACTGTAGTACCCGGGGAAGTACCCGGTGAAGTACCCGGTGCAACCTGCCCCCCTTCGACGACGTTGGTAACGATGGGCTCAGGAATGAAACAGGTTTCCAGAAAGCATTTAACACTTGGCAGAAGGGAAACGCGTGATTCACTTTTCTTCCAGTGCTTCGGCCGAAAGATTCCCTCATTCGCCAAATGGATTTTTGCAAATTTTAAGTGTATTGATAGTTTTAAAAAGAACACGCATACTAGGACAATAGAAACTCCGGAATGAGCCCATGTGGAAAGGTCCAAACGATCGCGAAGGCTTTAACGAGAACGTTCAACAAAGGACATTCCCGACGCGAATGAGGAAAGGGATGGTTCGCTTGAGCGTCTGATTTCGAATTGACGTCCCTTAACCAGATTTCTTTGAGAGGAAGGGATACGATCCGCAAAGAAGACGGAGTGGGATTTCCGAAGAAATGCAGGTTGATGCTTTCGGAGCACGAGGAGAAATGCAGGTTTACATGTTCTCACTCGGAAATTTACGACATTTATTTTTTACAGTGTGGGATCGTCCGGTGAACCGCTGACTGTTCGGACGGTCCCGGAAGGAGTTTCTCCAAATGTGAACTGCCAACTACGCAATCCTCAGAACAACTCGCTTTATTTCGAAGGAGCCATAGATGTTCCCAGGAGACAATGTCAGGAGCTCCTCCGTTGACTTCGGAAGAGATGAAGTCGATGTTGGCGATGGTGTGATTCTCTTTTCTTCCAGTGCTTCGGCCGAAAGATTACCTCATTCGCCGAATGGATTTTTGCAAACTTTAAAAGTATTGATACTTTTAAGAAGAACACGCATACTGAGACATTAGCAACTCCATTAGCTGAACTTCGAAACTTTGAACAGAAGAGAGACCAAACATTTGGAGTAGGTTCTTCTTTTAACGTTTGCTTCACCCTTGGTTTAACCTTTTACTTCGATCCATGCATCGCTTGCGTTTCTCTCTTACGCTCCACCAGCCTCCAATAATTTCAAAGAAGGTCTTTCATTAAAGGCGGATAATGGTTACCTGACGTATCCCCCTTCGAGCATAGAGGCTAATTCAATTGTTTTTTTGTTCTTGATTTACGGTGACCTATTTTTTTTCTTAGGAAAATGAAGTCACTTTCCTCTGTTAGAAGCTTCGCGTCAGCCGCGAAACCACCTGTCCAGTTTCGAGGGAATGTCCACGTTGAAAGTAGATCTTGCGCAATTTCGTGCAAAAATGTGCGTCACGTGCACGTTTTCTCACACTGGAAGGTGATGAATATAAAAGCGAGGCCAGGATGCGAAGATCCAGTCCTTCGAATGCGTCCTCGCCTCGTCTCATCTTCAATATGAAAGGCAGTGGAGAAGCGGGTCGTTCTCTCCCTTTTCTCTCTCCATCTCTCCTTCGCTCCATGGACGTCGGGGCAGTTCCCGTGCCCCGATCCCGAGGACATTTTCCCTTGCACCAGTTTCTTCAACGGAACGAAACGAAATTCCAACGGCTTGTCCCTCGGCAACGAGTGCGAACTGGAAGTATTTCCGTGAGGTTTCCGTTTCTTGGTTTCGTTTGAGCGATCACATCCTTCTGTTAAGATTGGTGAATTATTGCGATGGTTGTAATGCAGACCGTTCAAGGATGGATGGGTTCTTTTTGCAGTCACTTCGTAGGAATGCTTTGTGGTAACTTTTGCTTGGAAGCAGGTTCGATCAAACGGACTTGACGAGCGTAGGGAATTTCAAATTGTTTCACATATATTTTCCAGAGGTCTTCAACTTTCAGTGGGGACGAATTTAAAACATTAGATTCTACATCGCATGAATCCAGAATATCTGTTCGAGTGAGTGGAAATATGGGATTGGATTTCTTCGAAGGGAGTTCACTCGCTGGGGGAAACAAACCAGCAATATCATAAACGTAACCTCTTTTAAGATGATTGCATCCTTGTTTTCTCACTCGACCAATGATGATGGGGGTCCAATTTCATGAAGAAAAACGCAGTTTCCTTCTCGTCACTAATGCGCCTCCAGTGGCCTGAAAGCCATGTGTCCAGTTGCTTGGGAATGCCCACGTAGAAAACAGATTTTACGTGACGTCAAACGGCGAGCTGAGACAGATGCACATTTTCTCATCCGGGAAAGTTCCGAATATATGTGTGGACCCGGTAAGACGAAGATTCAGTCCGAGTCCATCCTCACCTCGTCTCCTCGTGCGCGTGAAACGCAATGGAAAATCGCATCGCTCTTTCCCTTTTCTTCCTCTTCCTCTCTTCCATGCCATGGACGTCGGGGCAGTTCCCGTGCCCCGATCCCGAGGACATTTCCCCCTGCACCTGCTCTTACGACGGGGCCTTGGAAATCACGGTGGATTGTTCCTCGGCGACGACGAATGAAATCTTCTCCGCCTTCCACGACGCCACCTGGCTTTCGGAGCTCACGTGCGTCAGGGTGTTTTTCTCTTGAGGGTATCAGGGTCTGGGTCTCTGAGTTTCGATTTTCAGCTTCATGAAGGACTAACTTTGTTCGCGCGTTAGTACTCGTTATTCATGAACTTCATACTTGCCAACAGACGCATGCGATTTTAATTGTTACGAGCATAGGTGATAACCTGGATGAAAGGTTCATGTATACTGGACAAAAAATAATCATTTCATTTCATGAGCGTGTATATCATTACAATAGAACCTTATTACTGTAGCGTTAGTTTTTTTTTCTATATTAATGAGCGAATTTCATTTGTTGGTCTCAGTGAAAGAATTTGTGATGCATGTCTTGATGCTGCCCGAAGTGTGGATCCTCTCGTATAACATGCAATCCATGAAACACTTTCATTTCGAGCATCGTTTTTCATTTTTCTTTTCCCTTGTAGGAAATTCAACATTATAAATAACAATAGAGTTACGGAGCTCTCTGATGGTATCTTCGGAGACGTCTCCTTCAAGAACATATTCATCCACACTGCCCAGAACCTTATCGCTGTGCATGTGTCTGCCTTGCTGTCATCGGATGACAGCCTTGTAGAGGCAACGTTCAGCCTGTGCGACCTCGAGGACTTCCCCTGGCACGTCCTCCCGCAGATGGTCGCACTCACGAAACTCGATCTCCACGGCAACGCCTTCGCGAAACTTCCGGTGCTGCGGAGCTCCACGCTGGAGCATCTCGACCTTTCGGATAACAACATAACGGCTCTCGAAAGTGGTTGGGTCCTGCCAAACTTGAGATGGCTATACATGGGTGAGTCCACTCGCTGTCATTTTCCGTCTTTGATCCGATTCGCCTGGGCCACGTTTTTCCTTTAGTCAGTGGAGAAGAAAGAGATTCGTGGAGTTCAAACGTATAGGAGAAGCAGTTCAACAGGGCGGTTACCAAAGAATTACTTACGCTTGTGGAATATTGTTTTTTTTTGTGAAATTCACCAGTAAAATTAAAATTTAGAATCCGTAGTTATTGCAAATGAAAAAATTAAAGCCAAAGTCTTTCTCTCTCTCTCTCATGATCCTTTTTGGCACTTCTTTGCAGATGAGAATCCTGTGACAGAGTTCCCGAGAGGTTTCTTTACTGGCTTTGAAAACCTGAAGGTTTTCTACTGCATAAATTGCAAACTCGGACCAATTCTTCACTCCCGGTCGCTGGAATTTAATAGCCAGGCTTTGGAATTCTTGTTTTTAAACGGAAACGACATCTCAGCCTTGGAAGCAGGAGCCATCTCAGGTAAAAATGTTGAGAAACGAATCCGATTTGCTGAGAATATGTTTAACTGTAACCATTTGGGGATTGGAAAGTCAGTTGCATGTTGGGTGCATGGCCCTGCTGAAGCTGACTTCAACGTCTCGGACCTGAAAATACTTGACGAACTCAAGGTCATGTCCAACTTCGTGCAAAATCCTCTTTTTCCTGTTTTCTCTATCCACAAAAGAGCGGAAATTAACTTAAGAGGTTCGGAGAGTGGTTGTCGGTGGGAAACATTTATTATTGGATTGCTGGCGGGGATCCATGAGAAGTATTACGGTGCATGAAACGACATTTAAACTTTCCATCATTTACTTCGTTGCTATTGTCACACCTACGAATCTTTTTTCCTCGCCTGCATGAGAAACAGGGTAAGTCTGAGTCTCGGACGACAGAAACGTTTTGAGTTCATCCACGTTGCACATAAAAACTTATATTTGGTGAGATGGGATTAATTTCCTGAAATCTGTGTCGGGGAAAATGCCACTTTTGAATTATTAAAAACGGATCCACTTGACTCTCAGTAATCGTCCGTGATTTGAAAGTTTCGTCACCGCGAATGTCATTTTGCTTCCGCGCGCAGAGTTTTTACCCATTTGAATGCTTGCTTCGCTTCTTCGAAAATTATCGAAATTTGTGCGATTGTTAAAATCTAGCCTAATTTTTCTTCCACATTTACTTGAATACTCCTGTCTCATATGTCTCCAAGATATCAGCGTGTATCGTCAAATTGGAAAGTATGGAAAAAAGCATAGCTGATAAAAAAAAAGTGTTATATAATTAAAAGATTAAAATATCTTCTTGAACTTGAACTAAACATTCAATATTTTCCATTCCAGGTTTCAATGGGAACACTATCATCAGTCTAGACTATAATTTGATCACTGAAGTGACGGAGGAAGTTTTTCGTCCGATTTTGGAAGTCCTGTCTTCAGGGACAGGATGGCTGTATCTCCTTGGTAAGTCGGGAGTGAATGTTGTGGGCTGACTGACTGTCGACTGTCAATTCGATCTGTGTTAACGTCCAGAAGAAACTTTGCAAGGCCATTTAGGACTCGTACGTGTAACAGGATTTGCGATGACGTCGTATCTGCCTTACGCTGAAGATGTCATCACGTGAAGATTATTATCGTTTACTCGCCATCATTTGAATGACATGCATGTGGCATGTCATGAAAATGAGAAATAAGGTTTCTCTAGGCCATTTAAATTTCAGCTTTTCAGAGGTGAACATGGGTGATTCCCTTATTTATTTTTTACCGTCTCAAAAAGCATGAGAGAAATCCTATGGCTCACGCAGAATTAAAGGAACCGGGTGATTAAAATGTTCCGAGAGGTTGTAACGCAGCAGAACTATCAGAACACTTGACCTTCAGGGATATAGCAGTTCGCAAAAGTCATGTGCTTCGCAAGATATGATGAAGCGATGATTAAATGTGGTATTGGCTACACCAGCACAACAGAGTCGCCGCGGGAATTCCGGTTGCGTTGTAGCCTTAATTTGGAGGAATAGTTTGAATTCCTCGTTGCTCTGAAACTGCGTTTTGCCGGAAGCCTTGGTGCTTTTCACGTTTTTCAGAGACAGTATGACATGCATAGTGAGATCAACTAGTATTTTACCCATGGAAATCTGAACTTCAAATATGCAGTGGGGAAAACCTATACATAGGCATACTTCTGACGTGGCATGTGCACAGCTCTCAAAGGTTGGCGAGAACACGAAAAGAATTGTCGGGAAGTGATTTTATTTTTCAGCAAAAAAACTGATATAATTCCATCACAACTCCTACTTTGCGGGCGAGCCCCAATATATACGTAACGTTAAAGTCGACGATGACCTTTCTATTTTTTCCCAATTCGGTAGGACAAAATAAAATTTGGGGAGAAAAGGAAACCACCACCCAAAAGTATTCACCCAGGACATGCATCTGAAAGTTGACATTTTTCCTGAACTGAATGTCTCAGTAGGCATGTCCATGCCAGGTTTCAGCTTTCCATGTCTCTCTATTTGACCTTAGCAAACACGAATCGTTTAAAACATCTCCCCCCTCCCAAAAAAAAAATGGGTCCCCCGGGGCATGCACCTCCAAAGTCGGATTTTTTCTTAACTCTGCATACCAAACTACTAGCTTCCCTAGAAAACGGTTAGAATTAGCGACACTCACTCGGTCACGATCGTCTACATTAGATTTCCCTCATTCTACCGATGGCCTGGCATATTCAAATACATGAGAGAAATAATCATGAGACTGTTCCTAATTATATATGATGGTGATATTGGTCATGATTACATCCGTTCGCTACAGGTAGTTCGGTTGTAATAGGCAAAAAAACTAGCCTAGTTAAAGTAAATACTTTTGAATGAAATAAACAGATCCAGGTGACACTTTAGACCATCGGCATTTTCTGGGGAATTATTTAATACTCTGGTTGTTCAATCATATGCCGCTGATATGTACATCTCAGTGCAAGGTCATATTATGCAATATTTACGCAGTTTCCATTTTGGCTTAAGGGTTGACCTTTGCCATGAGATGAAGGGAAACGAGTGCCCCACGATTATATTCAAATTGGCTCTCGCGCAATGCAGGGAATCCCATCCAGTGCGTTTGCAGCATGGCCTGGCTGGTGCTCGACCAAGACCTCCTCCCGGAAGTCACCGGAGAATGCGAGAGCGGGGCTTCCTTTCAAGAGCTGGACCCGTATTTCTTCGAGGAATTCTGCTTCGAGATGAATCCTCCGATGCCGGGCGATTATTCCACCTGGGTGTGAGTGATGTCCGATGAAAGAGTTGCGGTCCGTCGCGAATAAAAGCTCCGGCCTTTCTGAATTTTGTCCTTTGTTAAGTGGATTTCGTGCCGATCGTGTCGATTGTGAAAGCAACCGGAGTAGAAAGGACATTCTTTCAGTCTTTTTAAACCCTCAAATTCACTGGAAAGCAGAAACGTCCAGAGATATACATACATTGTATTAATACATAATGACGAACAAACGTATGTCGTGAAATGCGTACGTCGAATGGGTGCTGAACTGGAAAGTTTCCAAATGAGCTTCCAGATTCTCCCTAAAAACTGATGGAGTACGTTCTTTAGATCCTCCTTTGTATGCCGTTTCGGACACGCTGTTGGAAAATATGGAAACAATCCTTAAGCGTGACCTCAAATTCTCACAAAAAATTGTTTTCCCCGTTGTGCTTCAGGCGAAAGTGCATTGCCATAATGCCTAACATAACGGAATATTTTGGCCTCATTAAAAACTAGTTTTGGTTTTTTTTACCCACCCTCTAAATTCCCAGGGCAGCCTGGGGATGTAAAAATGATGTAACATGTACTGAAGAAGATTAATTATTAAGTTATTCCTTAGGTATTCGTAAGGTAAGGTATTCTTTATTAAGGTGGTCGTCATCGCACTCGACGCCATTCGCGCGCAAGGACCACTGCATTGTGCACGACACGCTACAATATCGCAATTGGAACGTCGACCACTTCCCCGCATGCGCGCATTCGCATTCCCCCATGCCGATGCGGGCTGTGCGGCCCATCGCCAGACCTCTGGGATCGCATGCCTGGAGGAAGGCCACGTCGAAGCATCTCGACGTCCGTGAACGGCTGGAACTTTTGGACGCGGCGGGCTGCGTTCGCGGCGATCGGGTCACCAATGCCGTGCTTGAAACAGTATGGGCCGATCGATCTTCAGTGCGTTCTTAGGATTTGTGACTTTCTCACGAAAAATGGCCAAATGGTTCAGCCGCTGGGAAAAAGTCATGTTCATATACACTGACTAGTTTCTTCTTTATTCGATTCAAATCAGAAATGCAAAGATACAAGTGCTTCAGCTTTTGTATTTCTGCATACATTTGACACGAAAGCTGAAGGATGCAAAAATTCCCGAATGTGAAAGGCACAAGTATGGGATTCAAGGATGAAAGCAATTGTAATCTTTTTCTTTTGCTCATTTTACAGTTACGTAATATAAACCCATTTCCTGGAGGAAAGTGCAGATCCTTTCTATCACTGATAAGTTTCGTACCAGCCGCAACTCTGCCTATCCGATTTACGGTGGGAATTTCCAACAAGGCACATCTTACATAACTTGATGCAATGAACTGCAAACCTGCAAACCGACGTGCGCTTATAAAGCGCACGTCGGCGTAATGTCTCGCCGACCACCACAACAGGAAGGGCGAACCTGGGAGGTAATTATGCACCACCCCATTCGGGTGGGACCACCACCCCAAGGTGTCCCCCAAAGGGAACGGGAAAAGGTGGAATTTCGTAACCGGAACATATTCATGGAATGGCATCGGTCTTCCTGTCAGCGAAGTCTCTTTCGAAAGTGTCACGTGAGCTTAAATTCCCAGACTCAACGGGCGCTCAGCGACGGCCCTCAATGCAAAAAATGGCGGACCCATTTCCTATTGCAGCAACTTTCGTGACGGCAATGATTTGCGCCATTTTCAAATGGCTTGGAGCGTCTCCTCAGCCTTTCATCAATTAAATTTTTATTCGTACTTTTCTCTTAAGATGGTTGAGTGGGTGCGTGGCGACTTTTTTTTGTGAAATATCATTCCTGGGTGGATGACAATCCAAATGATCACCATAGGCGTATATGACAGTGACGAACCAATCCTCCGTGATTTTCCTCTTTTTAAGGTTTGTCAATGAGGGTCCCACATTTTGCCAGCGCGAAAAACGTGCTTCGCTGGTCAATCTACGACTGGGAGAGAAATATCGTTTGTTTCAGCGAATAAATTCCCACAAGCATGCAAAATATACTCCCCTAGACATAAACAAGCCCATGAACCGAAATATGCAAAGAAAGTATGAAAATAAATGTGAAACCAAAAGTTTATGAGCTCCAGCGTTTACTCTTCGTTTCACCCTTCGTTCATGGCTGCAGCGGCACCGCCTAGATTTGCATCGAAGGTGTCTCACTCAGGAAGTGAAAACAGGCAATCCAATCCCAATACTAACGTATGGACTTAAAAGGTAGCAACATATTGTTATGCAGTTACGGGGTAGCCCGTTGTGGGATTCGGTTGGAAATAGGATCACGAGGGAAATCGGTAATAACACAATAAACCTGTATTTCTATTCCTTACTACAAATACAGTACATCATCACCAATGAACGAGGTGCTCAGGTGTCCCAACACTCGGTATTCGGCGGGGCGATGTGGTCCTGGGATGGAGAGTACTCCTTTACGGTCGACGAAGGGGTCCTCTGGGGTCTGGAAAACCTCCATCTCATCCAAGACGGTACCGCGAGGGAAATAACGCGTCCGTGCGCTCCGGCCAGCTCTAGGACGGTACTTGCCTGTGCTAGGCTGCCGGCATGTCACCTGCTCGTCGTCCTGGCCCGCCTAGTCTTGACTTGCGGTTGCGGTGGACTAAGGAGGGAAATTCACTGTCCCTGGGAAATACTGCTCCTGGGAGGGCATCGTAGGTGAGCAGTACGGGTTTGGTATGAAGCTATCTCCTGGTCCGCTCTGTATTAACCTGCAGTCGCGGTGAACAAGGGAGGGAGAATTCCCTCAAGCGCGGTTGGACCTGTTCCGGGAATTACATCTCTTGGTCGCGAAGCGTATACGATCCGTACCTTCCTCTTCATGGCTTAGATCGTGCCTTGAATCCAATACTTCACCTCCTGGTCGTGGGGCGTTCAAGACGGGAAGGTCGGTGGTCCCGATCAGATAACTCGGAATCACGGAACGCTATTGGTACTCGCCGACAGTCAGGGCTTTAGGTCGAGCCTGTATACTGAGGAGAACGTCACGCACGTGCTCCAGGGCTTGGGTCGAGCCTGTTTCGGTCTGAGACTGTCTCCTGGTCGTGACGTTTTCAAGTCCTTACGATCGGGCCTGACATTGCTCTTGAGGATGGGACTTTTAGACGATAGTCAAGAAGAAGAGAAATATTCCCCCGTTTTTAGCGCATTTCCTGGTCGTCCTCGATTGGGCTGGTCCCCTAGGGACCGTGAAGCCATCATTGACAGGACTTGAAGTCCTTTAAGGCTTTGGGTCAGGGCTCTTTCATCTGCATTTCTAACTACCAGCCTAGGGTCACCAGGGCCCTCCCTGATCATTTTATTCTGAGTTGGAAATATAACATTTTAGTTTCATGCATGCCTACTATTCACAATCAACGGGGTTCACAAGTGGCATCTAGTGGCAGAGTCAAGAAGTATCTGTCAGAGGTCATTCAACGAGGTCACGTGTTCTTATTCCCTTACTGTGACAAACGCAGTTCCTCCCTATTGTTGATAAACTTCGTAGTCGTCCTTGTGTGTTACAAGGAAATTCCCACACTAAAAATATATTTTACCTAACTTCATTCCACGAACTGCGGCACGTGCACATTTTCTCATCCTGTAAAGCACGGATAAAAAGCGGATTCAGTCCTATTCCAGCCTCGTCTCGTCTCCTGTTCCACGCGAATCGCAATGGAAAAGCGGATCGTTTTCTCCCTTTTCTCTTTCCTTCTTTCCTTCGTTCCATGGACGTCGGGGCAGTTCCCGTGCCCCGATCCCGAGGACATTTCCCCCTGCACCTGCTCCTACGACGAAGAAACCCGGGAAATCATAGCGGATTGTTCTTCAGCGACGACAAGTGAAATATTCTCCGTCTTCCACGACGTCGTCTGGTTCTCGAAGCTCACGTAAGTCAAAGTGATTCTCTCGTTTATGATGAATATACCCTCAGAGAATGAAATTAACATTATTAACGCAAACAGTGACTTGCGTCGCTGTTTGCGTTGTACGATGGGTTCGAAATTTAATTAGGAGGACATCAATTCACCTCTTGCAAATTAATTGGATGCATGCCTCGTGATCATATTATCTGCCCAGTTCGAGAAATATGACGGTGTACGTGGTATTGCATCAATTTACGTTTCGACGGCAATTCGCATATCCTCATCCTTTCCCTCTTCCCTTACATGTATATGGGGTCCACGAAGTCATGCGAGATAGTACCTTTTGTTATTTGTAATACCAGCTGTAACAATGGATAATGCAGATGGGTAATCCTTGGTGGAGAAAAGAAGTGAAGAAGGCTTGCAATACAAATTCGGAAGGTTTCTGCGTGCATGGTCAAGCGCAAGCATTTCAATTTCCATATATTCGTGCAAATCCGTATTCACAAATTAGAAAACTCTGTGGAATATGTGTTAGTCATGTTTGCAGAATCAATGAAAGAATTGTACTAGTTGCTCTCGATGGAGGAGATCCGCAACCATTCTCTTATTCTCTCGTAACCTGGAAGGCATGAAAGTGTTTCATTCTCCCTGCAGAATGTTCGACGCGATGAGTAGCGACAAAATAACGGAACTCTCGGAGGGCATATTCGGAAACGTCACCTTCGAGCGTATCAGCACCTACATATGCCCTAATTTCTCCACCGTTCATCCGTCGGTACTGCTAGCATCGAAGGACGTTCTTGAAGTGGCTTGGTTCCAATTTGGCCGCCTTGAAGAATTCCCCTGGCACGTCGTGCCGCAGATGGTCGCCCTAAAACAAATCTTCGTCAGCAGCAACGCTCTGACATCGGTGCCTCCGCTGCACAGCCCTACTCTCCAAATGCTGCGACTTTCAGATAACCGCATACCCTCTCTTGAAGGGGAATGGTTTCTGCCCGATATATTTTCCATAGATATAGGTGAGTCCACTCGCTCACTAGTCCCGTTTGTGCTCCAAGTCGACGTGGCCAAAACGTTTCATGTCAGGAAAAAAGACTTATGGCAAACTGACGTTTTGCGCTAGTCTTTTTCCTTTCTTTCATTTTTTTTCCCAAACAAGGGGCAATTGGGTTCACATGCATATAAGTTGAGACGTATTCGTCATATGCTAAAGAATTACTCTTGTTTTTGGAACAATGCCTTTGGGAATTTCTCGCGAGAAAATACAAATATATCAGTCATACAAATATATATAATAAATAAATCGAAACCAATCAGTCAAATGAGCCATTTTCATTGCCTTGCAGGTGAAAATCCTGTGTCAGAGTTCCCTACAGGATTTTTTAATGACTTCAGAACACTTCAGGTTTTTATATGCTCTGACTGCAGACTCGGACCAACTCTTCATTCCGGGTCACTAGAATTTAATACCTGGCGTTTGATTCAATTGTCCCTCGAGAGAAACAACATCACCACAATTGAAGCAGGAGCCATCTTGGGTATGTTGAAGCTGAACGAAAGCTGAACGAAGCTGAAATTTGCTGAAAATGTGGAGTGATATTAAAGGAGACCATGTGGCATCTGAATTATAATTGCAATTAATGCGTTTGATCCAATTCAATTTAATCGTACTTGTTGTACCTGAACCACTTCGAGGAAACGAATACGGTTTTCATTTAGTGTGAACTAGTTAGCAGCAGTAGTAATATTCTGAACTAATGAACATCAGCATTTAGCAGAATTATTCAATTTCAACCATCGAAAAGTTTAGGTTCATCTCAATGATGCAGCGGATATGGAATTTATGCATGATGTAGTTTGTTTGCTCCTCAGGCAAACAATCTCGTAATGGTCACGTTCGACTCTTTTAAATTTACGCAAATATTTGATATATTAATTCGTCAGAAACGTGGGTTTCTGGTGCTCGAATAGTAAGGCTAGAAAATTCCAAAGGTCATTTACACTTTTCTCTTTAATGTTAAGTTATTTTCGATTGCCTGACGTCACCTCCAACTTGAAGTTCAGGAATGTTGA